GGGACTCCAGGATCATGACCTGAGCCGAAGGCAGTCGCTTAACCAACTGAGCCACCCAGGCGCCCCAACAACTCACTTTTCTATTTTGAATATTTCTCTATGTCAATAGGGAGAAATTTTCCATGATACATGGCCCAGTTATTCATATAGCTTCTCAATTTTTTCTGATATTTTCACTATAAAATTGGAGGAAATTATACCAAGGTCTGAAAGCAGATCTAATGCCATTGTTGATAAAATCTATTAACTTTTGAGAATCATTCTCAATGGGTGACCCATTTCAAATACATGAGACTCAGTGACAAGTCAGTTGAATTTTTAGGGTATCCTACCATTCTGGCTTCCATTTTTCACTGTCAGTGTCTTAAAAACAAAAAGGAAAGAATGAAGCCAGAATTACACCAGCAATCATAAGACATGGTGTTGTAATGGAAAGTGTTATGATGGACAGAGTAGAAGAAGAGCTAAAAAAATATAGTTTATAAAGCAGTAAAAACGTGGAATGCCACATTCAGGACTTGTCTTCCTTGTGTGTCTCAGGTTTGCAGGAGGATCAGGAAGCTACTGCAAGCAGAAGTGTAGCTCTAATACCACTTGGAAGAGTTAGAGATTATGAAACATGTGGAGAGACACCACCCCTGCTTACTCACAGAACTTGTTCCAGCTTGGGGTTGTCAAAGTCATTCAAGTCTGGGAAGGAAAAGGGTGTAGTGGACAACCACCTTTCTAGCCAGCTTTCCTATCCACCACCTTCTTCCCTGAGGCTGTGTGGGCACATGGCCCAATCAGATCCAATCAGGGTCCTTCTCTGGGATTGCTAGATGGACTGTAGGATAAAGAAGCTCTTTCTTTTTTTAGAGAGGAGGGTGGGGCAGGGCAGAGGGAGAGGGAGAGAATCTTTTTTTTTTTTTCTTAAGATTTTATTTATTTATTTGAGCACAAGCAGGGTAGAGAGGCCGAGGGAGAAGCAGACTCCCTGTTGAGCAGGGAGCCTGACATGGGACTCGATCCCAGGACCCTGAGATCATGACCTGAGCTGAAGGCAGTCGCTTAACGACTGAGCCACCCAGGTGCCCCGAAAGAGAGAATCTTAAGCAAGCTCCACGCCCAGCACTGAGCCCAGTGCGGAACTCAATCTCAGAACCCTGAAATCATGACCTGAGCCAAAATCAGGAGTTGGATGCTTAACTGACTGAGCCAGCCACCCAGGCACCCTAAGAAGCTCTTTTAAAAAAATTTTTTTTAAAAGATTTTATTTATTTATTTGACAGAGAGAGAGATAGCGAGAGCAGGAACACAAGCAGGAGGGAGTGGGAAAGGGAGAAGCAGGCCCTCCGTGGAGTGGGGAACCTGATGCAGGGCTTGATCCCAGGACCCTGCGATCATGACCTGAGCCGAAGGCAGACGCTTAACGACTGAGCCACCCAGGCGTCCCCCTAAGAAGCTCTTTTTGATGAGGTAGCCACACCCCCCTTATTAGAAGCCCTCTGCACATATGCACATAGAAGCTGAAGCAAACAGATGAAAGAGAACATCCTGGAAACTCCGGTGTCAGTACCTGAGGGTTCTTGTAGCTCTTTTTTTTTTTTTTTAAAGATTTTATTTATTTATTTGAGACAGAGAGAATGAGAGAGAGAGAGCACATGAGAGGGGGGAGGGTCAGAGGCAGAAGCAGGCTCCCCGCCGAGCAAGGAGCCCGATGCGGGACTCGATCCCGGGACTCCAGGATCATGACCTGAGCCGAAGGCAGTCGCTTAACCAACTGAGCCACCCAGGCGCCCTCTTGTAGCTCTTTTTTGATGTTAAAAGCTATGCCAGTATCCTTCCCACCTAGAGGCCAATAAATTCCCTTACATACATAGGCTGTCTGAGCAGGGTTTCTGTCCCTTACACTTCCAGGGAGGGACATCAGTAGGTAATAACAT